TTATACCGTGTCCATACCGCTCTCATCAAACGCTAAACTGTACTCTGATTCGTTATCATTCACTTCAATTACGATGTATCTTACTCTATTGTATATTACTTTGTTGTACAACACTTACTACTACTTCTACTCCTACAACCCTACAACTACGTTTACGCAATTGTAGAATGGCCTTTAATGTAATTTTGAATTTCACAGCACGATCCTGAAAAACAGGCGTAGCACGGACACGCACAAAATGGAGACTTTATCGGCAGTGTCAGAGGATGCGTGGCAAAATAGTTCCAAAAGTAAAAATGGACGTAAGGGCGCGCAAAACGGTCTCTTGAAACGGTATCGGGTAAAACGCCCGGCGTGGCCGCTCTCAGGTATCTCTCTGATACCAGTCTCGAACAGTCCCGAATACTCCCGAATCACCCGAATGTGCGAGTTTGGTGACCCTACGCGACGGAGCGTGCGTGCACGGGCGCTGATCGCGAGCCAGAGAAGGGACAATTTATAACTGTTTCCTTCAACGTTTGTGCGTCGCCGCGTTTCCCAAATGAGCACCGTCGAGTATGGTTTTCCGATGATAGGCGGATTAATGCCGGTGAGCGTAATGAACGGATCTATCGCCAGCACCGAGTTTTCCTGTTAAGAATCGCGCTGGGTCTCACCCTGCGCTCCCGTTAATTCGCCCTTACCCAGCACTAGCTAGTCTCGTTCGTCTCTTATTTGAACTGTCCTTTCCATTAGCAAATACAGGCTCTCATAGCACCACCGATATCGGACGACTCCAAGGCGGCGAAGGCGAAGAAGGAGAAGGAGGAGAAGAAGCATCCGTACTTCAAGAGACGTGGTCGCGGTCACAACCGCGACTTTTGCGACGCTTGTAAAGATGGTGGCGAGCTCATATGCTGCGACAAATGTCCGGCCTCCTATCACTTGCAGTGTCAGTAAGTGTGATCCGAACGATCGCTGTCTGCTTTGGAGATCATTACTGTAAGCCGTTGAGTCCTCACCTATAGAAGAAGCGTGGTTCTGAAGTTTCTCACCTTTTAGCTATCCTCCCGTGGATCCTACGGATATACCTAATGGAGAGTGGTTGTGCTACGCCTGCCGTTGCGCCTCCAAGAGGGAGGAGCTTATGGACGAGAAGGGCAACGAAAAGAAAAAGAGATCCGCTCTGGAGCTGTTAACGCTTGCGGCTTCCCTGGTGAATCCAAGGGAGTTTGAGTTGCCCAAGGAGTTGCAATTGCCTATAATGTTTCCGGGTAGCAATAAAGTGGATTACGTCTCTGGCAGAAGAGGTAAACTGCTGAGCACGTTGTACAACAACGGTAGGCAAGATTGCGTGTACTTTTCCTTTTCTCTTTGCGTCCCTTTTCACACAATCAAATCTCACCCCTTTTTCTAAGGAAACGGTTCTGAAATTGAATTATTTTAATGTCAGTTACTGCCTCACAACTCGATCTCAAATCACTTAAGGCTCTTGTGTACCAAACATTTACGTTTTAATAATCAAGTAGGTGTATTTTTCTTTTCCAGTCGGAAAAAGTCATTGCTTGGATAGCAACTTAATGGTCCCGCTGCCAGCTCGTTTGTGCTACGAGTGCGGCCGTAGTTGCAGAAAAGCGCCGTTAATCGCGTGTGACTATTGCCCACTGTACTTTCATCAGGACTGCCTGGACCCACCGCTGACCGCCTTTCCAATCGGCAGATGGATGTGTCCCAATCATCCGAATCACTTCATAGACCAGAATCTGTTGACCTCTTGTCGAGTGACGGAGCGCATTAAACTCTGGGACAAGTACGCCAATCAGCGAATAGATCAGCACGCAGTCAAGTTAGACTTCCTGCGCAAGGCGCGTGCTGTCAATCCGCTATTTCGAACGAAGGTGAGACTGGAGGGCCGGCCACGAGTGAAAGTTCCTTGCAGCATCAAGTTCCATTATGAGAACCCGGTGCACATAGATCCGCTGCATTCTTATCAGGACAGTCTTATACGGCCTGTAAGAAGTACTGCAGATGAGAAGGTGCAACAGACAGACGTCGGGAAAGCAGATAGCAAGGATAATTGTATAGAAAGTGAGAAAACTGCCGAAGACACTGACGATGTCAGAACGAAAAGAGAGACTGGTGATGCTGTTATGGATGAGGGAAGTGATCGGCAGAAAGTGTCGGGCGCAAGTGAGCCCACGAGTAAAGTGGGGAACGGCACTGCGACGGACAGTTCTAAGGAATGTAACAATCGCGAGGTTTATGCGAGCAACTGCAGTTATAGCGTTAAAGAGGGTGTCCAGTTGTTAGAAAGGCCAGTATTGGAGGCATTAGCGCAACAGAGACTAGAGGAGATATTAAATCCACACGGGGAGAGTTATGAAACAATAAATTGTCATAGAAGAGCACGTGCCGCATTATTTTCTTTAAGCCCTAAGCCTAATCCACCAGCATTCATGACTCGTAGAACCTTCGTTATCGGCAACGGCCCGAACTGCGACTTAGTCTTGTCCAATTACGGCAGCTGCGGATTCACGTCCTCGAAACACGCAGTCATATTTTTCGACGAGGTAAGCACCTGCCCCTTTAACAAAGGATTCATGGGAGATTACGAGATACGAATTGTAGAAGGGATCTTCCTTTCTTATCGTCGTCTAATCTTTGTTATAGGTGACCAAGCATTACGAATTACTTAATTACAGCAAATACGGAACGGTGGTGGACCACGTGCTGTATTCTTGTGATTGCACTCGTGTTTTAGAGGAGCAGATAAAGGAGGAAAAGACTGATAAAGCAACGTACGTCACTAGGGAGGAAGAGACTTCCGATATGATAAAGGCTATTCTGCACAAGGAGGGACCGACTTGCTTAGAGGAATATACGCGCGCGGATGACAAGATCGTGTGCAAATGTAATATAAAACGTGACGCGAGAACTAATGAGCATCTGGAGGAGGGGTGGGAGGGAAGTGCAATCGTCACACATGGCTCGACCATTACATTCGGATGTCTCACGTTTGTATTTAATACATTGAATACGTATGTACATAGATAAAACTCGATGTAAGACACTTCACGTTGTACAAAGGGAAATTTTATATAGCAATACAAAATAAATTATCGGAGCGTTTCCTGGCGCTTGCAGTACTTTTCCGTTTTCTCTTTCAATAACTTGTATACTATACACATGTGCGTTTTACAATCCGGATAAAAGATTTCAACAAATAATCAAGTTTCATCTGGCTCGTCATCCTGGTCATCGAAGTCTCTCGTTCTTACGTCTGTGTCCTCGCCATATTGTATCGTGTTATCGATCGTTAACTTTATATCGGCAATACTCTCTTCGTTCTTGATGTTTAACGGCAGAAAATGCACTAAGCTGTAAGATGATATAACTTCACCAAGACTCTCTGTAAGCTTGCGATACTTCTCGTTCCATGGACCTTGTTCCGCATCTGCTAGCAAACTGTGCGGATCGGGATTGGTATAGTCTTCTAGTCTTTTTCGCGCGCTCTTCGACAACATGTCCATTTTGCTAAGAATACTGATATGAGGAATATCCAGGTTTATCATCACGCTCAGAGTAGCCAGGGTGCCTGACAGAAACTTCGACGCGTCTATCATGAATTGGACGTCTATCAAAAATATTCCACATACGCGGAAATTAAGGTTCTGCAGGACAGTTATCAGTTGACGTATCACAGTCATGTGAGTGTACAACTCGATTTGCCCTGGACAGTCGAATATTATATAATCGTCATCCGTGTCGCTTAAATTCTCTTCCAGCCATTCGGGTGCATTTTCGACTAAGTACCTGTAAAAAAAACACAATTTTATCACATAAAGTGATTATAAATAAAACTTACAACAATGGAGTGGTCGTGGCGATCGTGGCGCAGAGGATTGTGCGCTGGTCTGGTAATCCAAAGACCTGGGTTCAAAACCAAACAAAACATTGTTGGTTTTTCGTTCGATCGCCACATAGAGAAGTGGATATAGAGGGAGGTGTTATAAAAACGCCTTGTAACCCTAAGGGGAATGAATAAAACGTATCTACATCTACAATGGAGTGATCACGTAACTCCATTCCCACGTATGTCAGTTTTAAAAGAAATTGATGGAAAAATTGAAGGTTGTGAGTGAAGAAATGTGAAGTGACAATGGTAACTTGTTCCTCACTCACAACCTTCAATTTTTCCGTAAGTCTCTTTTAAAACTGACATACGTGGGAATTGAACCTTTTGATTAAGAGTTTATTTTGTTCTCACATGGACTTGTTACGAGAACTCACGTTGCAACAAGTTGTAAAGATATATAATAATAATAGCGCACTTATAATAGAAAGTGCCTTACTCCATGCAGTATACGAGTCCACCATTGGGTCCGAAGTTTAATTCCTCGTCCTCCATAGCGTCGTCCAAGTGAATCAAGTCTCTTATATCCACTAGAGGCTGGTAATCAAAATATTCTGCAGCGGGATCTAAATTTACGACGTCTATCGTTTTCCCCGTGTCAGAAGCGTGTTGTTGCATGACTGAACAGTAGGTGGACTGTTTAAGATCGAGAATCAAAATATTAGTAGAATTGCCCTCATTCAGGCAGATGCTAGTATCTAATAGACCTGACAATTCAAATTTTTTACCTTGCCACTGCCGGCTGGACCCATTACTAGCTGAGCGTACCTCATTTCGGTAGTAAATGAACGTACGTCTTTATAAATGTACAATTAATGGATACCGATTATATTTTTGATATTTCTAATTTTGTATATTGTTTCAAAGAAAAACTGTGTGCGCGAGACGCTAAGATTATCAGAAGAACCTCGGAATGTCGTTGAAAACACGCATATCACGTGTAGCGCGTAACAAACCGAATAACACACCAAAGGAAAGTCCGAGAGTGATACGCTCGCGCGTTTCAAGCATAGAACTTATAATGCGTAGTCTACAATGCGAGTCGCAGAGTCGTAGTCATAAGAATAATCGACTGCGATTGGTCAATTTCGTCAGATACATAAGAATTGACCAATCATAGACCTAGTTTACATCGTGCACTTGATACGCGTATCAAATAGTAACAAATAGTAAATAACTAGTAAATTAGTTTGGTCATTGGCTGATCAGTTCAAATACACTATTTGATATGTCCTATCTTCAATGGTCACGTTCAGCAGGCACAACTGTTGAGTGAGCGCTCAATGATTTCTTAATATGATTGGCTGGATCTAAAATATTAAGAAATCATTGAGCGCTCACTCAACAGTTGTGTCTGCTGAACGCGGCCAATGACGATGCACGATGCGCGAAATCTCATGACTCGTTCCCGCGCCCGACTGACCGGTTACCGACCGGTGTTTATATTTTGTGAGATTTGTACGACACCATTGCGCTTAATTGCGGTGTCTCGTTAAGGCCTGTTACACAATACGTCGTATGTCGCTGTCGGATGTCGGGACGTGGTCGATGGTCCAATAAGAAAATTCCTAGGAATTTTCTTATTGGACCATCGACCACGTCCCGACATCCGACAGCGACATACGACGTATTGTGTAACAGGCCTAAAGCCTTGTGTCCACGATCCAAGAACTGTGTCCAAGTTCTAGTTCCGAGAAATGCGTAGCCAATCACCTTGCAGCTTTTATGGAATAGCTGCAGGTTGATTGGCTACCAGTGAACTCTATACATACTGGAATGAGTGATCTATAGTTCTGGCTGTAGCCGAGAGAGAGGTGCGTTGGGTGAATCCTTGTCTCCTTCTAGTACTACCTGATTGGATAATCGCATATAAATGACGCCCTTCTTCTCGTCATTTATATGCGACTATCCAATCAGGTAGTACTAGAAGGAGACAAGGATTCACCCAAACGCACCTCTCTCTCGGCAACAGCCAGAACAACAGATCACTCATTCCAGTATGTATAGAGTTCACTGTTGGCTACACATTTCTCGAAACTAGAACTTGGACCAAGTTCTTGGATCGTGGACACAAGGCTTAATGGCTCTTGCCCACTGGACGCGGTAACGTTGCCGCGCGGCGGAACTTGGCTAGGAAAACCAGCGCTAGCCAATCAACGTCTCGTGCGCTCGGATGTGGAT